CGGCGGGGGCTGCGGTCGGGCCCCCACAGCTGCCTCGAGCAGGAGGAGCAGGAGGTGGCCTGGCCCTGGCCCGGCACCTGCCGCTGCTTCCTGCAGCGCAGGGTCTGGATGCAGCAGCTCAGCCGAGCCCTCAGCCCTGCTGCTTTCTCACTCCAGCCCCCCCAGAGTGAGAGTTTCCGTGTTAACGTCAGCAGAAACAGGGAATTAAAGAGTGAAAAACAGCTCTTTAAGGGCAAATGCAAGAGTTGCACACGTCAGTGCAGGCAGTTCCCCCAGCAGCCCGAAGGCTGACGCGTGGCGCAGCACTTCGTAACACAGCAATAACGACACCCCGTGCCAGCAGACCCAGGCTGTGTTAGTGGGGTAGGTGGTGCTGCCTGATGGAGATGGTTGCAAACGCTCAGGTTTGGCTTTTATGACGGTAATTCACGCCACTCGATTTATGAAGAAGTGAGCAAGTTGTGAAATAATGGATCTTAATGTGTCGTGAAAGGAGCTTGGTGCCTGTGAAACAATCCTCTGCATCTGTGGGATGCAGCTAACAGTACAGAAAGGGGCACACGTGCTGCACATGTTCCCTCCTATGCTGATTCCCAGGTCCTTGGAAAATAGGGAGGGTGACTTTCCTTCTTTTTCTCTGCCCAGCCTGTGTCCTCTGTGCTGAAGCTACAGCCGGAGGGACAAATTGTGTCAAGTGCACTTGGTGAAATTTAACTGAGTCTGCTGCAAGCCCAGTCCATTCCTTATTTCTGACAGGCCCTACACAGCTGTGCCTTGCTAGTTCAGAAGTTAGGGAGCTGAGCCGCTTCCTACAGCCACGGGAGCTTCCCCACACTGATGCAGCAGCAGATGCTGCGCACTGTGGTCCTACAAATCTCTGACAGCAGTTTTCTTTCAAGCTGAAGGTGGTTTTTGTTTGGACTGTCTGTTCTGTGTCCATGTAAGGAATTCAGTAGTGCTAGAAAATCGCTGGGATACTGGAAAGGTCAGTAGTATCTAAGGCATAGTGCACCGTGGAAGGGGCAAAGACCCAGCTCTGTCTACCAGGCAACAGGAGTGGGAAGATACTGTTGGCAGTAGCAGAGATTGAGTCTGATTTCCCTGGGCTGTGCTGACGGCAGAGGAAGGCTCCAGAGGGGAGGCTGCACTTTGCCACCTATTGGCTTGTTCCCGGTACGTCTCCACGGCAGGAAATGGCTGAAATGAGTTAGTCCTCCCGTAGAAAATTACCCACCGCGTTGTAGCTTGGGGCGTGAGCGCTGCATGCCCAGCAAGCACCGTGCCTGGCACTTTGTCTCACGCTGAGACCAAATAAAAATTCCTGTTATTTTACCTTGTTCTACCCAGATTGACCTACTTGGTCCTCCCGTAGAAAATTACCCACCGTGTTGTAGCTTGGGGCGTGAGCACCGCGTGCCCAGCGAGCACCGTGCCTGGCACTTCGTCTCATGCTGAGACCAAATACAAATTCCTGTTATTTTACCTCGTTCTACCCAGATTGACCTACTCAGTCTGTTTTTTTTAATTATTCCCAAATGGGGACCAAAGGCGCAGAGGTTGCATTGCAGTCACCCATGGAATAGTCCTAGAAAGAGCGCCCTGCGCTGCCTCCTGCCCTGTCCCAGAATATTCATGGGAGGGACCTGTGGAAACCCACTGTGAGGCAGACATCCCCGGGGAGAAACAACTGCAGAGCCTCAGCGCTATCTGGCAGGAGTCAGGATTTTTTTCATGGCACTGACTCATCAGCAGCAAACACTGGAAACAAATCCTCAGGAAAAGGTCCCTCCAGCAAAAACCAGGGCATAGAAAAGTAACCTGTTTTTACTACGTGACATAATGCCCGCGTGGAAGCCGCCCAGCACAATCGACTGATGCGCAGTGAACCCGGATCAATGGTGCAGCGGGTCCAGCAGCAGTAAAGCACGAGCTGTCACGTGGGGAGGACACGGGGGCACGGAAAGCGCTGGCTGTGGCCAGCATTCATCACTGAACAATGCTGCTGCCCGTCTGCCTGCGCCGTGGCTTTCCCAGCCTGCCCGCTCGCACGGAGCGTTTCTCCGGCGCTGGCTGGGGGTGGGCTGGGAGCTGGAGACACCACATTCCGTTTTTTGCCAGCCTGTGGCAGATTGCAAGGGCAGGAGGCAGGATGTGCCGAGTATGAATTGTTTGTTGTCAAGGCTACGGGACAAGAGGGAAACTGCAGCCTTCCCAGTCTGCCCACAGCCCTTCGGCAGAGCTCGGGAGGGCTTTCCGCTGCCCAAGCCCGCCGAGGCTCCGCGGCAGCTCTGTCCCTGGGAGCTTCATTTCCTTCGGTGAGCCAACACCAGCGGAGAGGGTCCCACTCGGGGTCACTCTCGGTCTGAATTCTCCTTCTTCACCCTCCTGCGCCTGGTCCTGCTGGGTTGTTGCAGCCTTCGGGGGCACCTCCTGTGTGGCTTCTAGGGCAGAGGCTGGCGCGGCTCCGTGAGGCATAACTTCGGCCCTACGACCTGCTTTGCCTCAGTGCTGAGGTTCAAAGTTGGCCAAATAAGGGTTATTTCTTCCCGGTGTTTTTCCAGCAGTATGTACTCTATGAAGTTCCGAAATCAGTATGTTTTTTACCCATGAGGCCTTATGCAACACAACGTGTCTGGGCATTGCTTACAAGTGCATTTTTGCACGGCATATGTTGAAGCATGTCCTGCATTTGGAAGTCTAGTGACTAGATTTGTTGATGGATGGAGGATGGCAGAGCTGAGATAGCCCCTTCGAGGTGGGAGCGTCCAGCTGCTTCCCTTCAGGAAGGAATTCGACCTCTTGTTTCTGTGTTAAACGTGCGTAGAGATGCGGTGTGCGCCGTGCAGATGGCGTGTGTGCCTGTTGCCTGCATTCACGCGAACGGGAGCGGGCGCTCTTGTGATCCAGAAGTTGTGTGCCGTAACTACTCAATCCAGATTGTAGCCTAGCGTTAAAGTGTTGGAAATCAGGCTCTGGAAAAAGCTAACTGTTGGCAAAAGGTCTGGATTTTCCAGCTGCATGTGAACGTGTGCAGTTGTTTAAAGCAGCTGCCTTTAATGTGCACAGCGGTGAGCGGATGGGTTCCTTTCTTTCCAGCAGCTTCCCGACGCCCTTTACTCAAGGATTTTGTTTTTTCCTCTCATTACTTAGGGTGCCTTTAGACTTCTGTTAAAGAAGAGGCAGTGTTGGGTTTGGAGCTTTGCGTTCCTCGCTGAGCTGTGCCTGTGTTTGCATGCAAAGCCATCGCCTCCCCTCCAACTATTTTAATCATTTCAGAAAGGGTGGGTCACCAGGCATTTGGCAGCAGGCTCCCTTTATAGAGCTGAGGTGGAGTCAGCCAATGACCTGCGAGCCTGGAAATTTTTGCAGGGCAGTTCCACTGGACGGCTTTGCGGAGCTGTGCCATTTGAATTTCAGCACAGACGTCCACACACTGCACTCTCCATTTCTGGCGCGTCTCCCAGCGCAGAGTTTAGCTGAGGCTCGGGCTCAGTTTTCCCTCCTCTCTCTCCCTGCAGTGACAGCTTCCCCGGGCTCCGCGAGCCAGGACTCCCAAGCCATCATGGAGGATACTACTTTGCAAATTATCGAGCCACCAACTGCTTCTGAGACCTCTGAGGAGCCAGTGCCCGAAGAACCCATCAAAGCGGACCAGATCAATGGCGTGATGGTGCTGACCCTTCTGGACAAGATCATCGGAGCGGTGGATCAGATCCAGCTGACCCAAACCCAGCTGGAGGAGAGACAGCAAGAGATGGATGGCGCAGTGACCAGCATCCAGGGCGAGCTGACCAAGCTGACGAAGGCACACACCACCACCAGCAACACCGTGAACAAGATGCTGGAGAAAGTGCGCAAGGTGAGCGTCAACGTGAAAACGGTCCGGCAGAACCTGGAGAAGCAAGCGGGGCAGATCAAGAAGCTGGAGGCCAACGAAGCGGAGCTGCTGAAACGCAGAAACTTCAAAGTCATGATCTACCAGGTAAGGAGCTGCTTCGTGACTTCCCTGTGTCCCGTCCGTGGGGGTTTCCTTTGCTAAGGGCTCTGTCACACTGCGTGGCCGGTCCGTTACGCTCCCCAATTTCCCCGGCGGGTGGTGCAAGCTGAGGTGGGTCCGACGCAGCTCTCATTCATGATCTAAAGTTGTCCCTGCTCTGAGACAAGGTCTGACCGAGTAACGGAAACGTTAGTGCAGAGAGTGAGAATGGCCCTGAGCACTCACTGCAACGGACTGAGGTATCACACCAACCCCACGTTACTGCTTTGCTAACAAAAGAGCAGGAATCCACTGGGTCTGCAAGGAAGTGCTGTAAATCCGTCTGCCAGTGTCTGCTCCAGTGAGAGGCAGCGTGTGTATTGCTGCGTGGAGAGCGATAACATTTCAGGTTTGTGACGTGATGGCGAGGGACGGTAACCCCAGCACGGGGGTTAATCTCACTGACTGGGGCAGATGGAGACGTTAGAGGAACGCGTTAGTGCTGAGGTCTGCCTTTGCCCTCGTGCCTGCACAGATTTCCACCTCCTTTTTCTGCAGCCTGCGAGTCTTGAATCTTCCCATCTGTTTGCCATGAGAGCTTTGCTTTGCTCGGTGTTCAACCCCTGCACTAAGCCTTGGCTTTTTCCTTTAAACCGGGTGAAAGAGAGGAATGTGTTGCTGTCCGTTCATCTTCCTTATCAGAGCAAACTCTGCTGCTGGGCCATGGAGGAAGAGTGAGTGAAATAGTTAATGGCTCAGTTAGAACCTCGGGGTTAATAATAGACAGCGGGGACGGACAGGGAAGTGTCTAGTGCTGATCGCAGGGAGAGCAGAGACACAGAAAAAAAGGGAAAAGGCTTCTCCCTACAGGGTTTGGAGGGAGAGCTGGTCATAATAGGCTCTGGAATCTAACGAGTGTGTGGGCCTGTGTCGCTCTGATTCAGAGCTTAAGCATTTGTCGTTTTATCACGCCCGCAAGGCTGGAATAGCGGAGCCTGTTGGGTCATCCGGGCAGCCCACCCGGTTGTGTGTGTGTTTACGGCAGGCTCTTCGTGTCAGGCTTTTGGGGGAGGATACATCTATCCACGGAAAAATAAACCACAGCTCTCAGTGTCCTGCAGAAGCAACAAACATTGCAGAGTGAGAGGAGGGAAGGGAGTTGCTTCACCACAGTGTTCCTCATCGTTTATGGAAATAGGAAGGACGTCGGTAAACTTCGGGGTCCTTTGGAAGCATCCCGAGCCTCGGCAGGTTGTTTGTGAGCTGTTCGTTGTGGTGTGCTCCTGCTCGTGAACCTGGAGCAGAGTTTCTGTTGGAATATAAACCCCCGTCCTGCTTCTGAAGGCAGCGGGGGGCAGCGCTCTTTCCGAGGTGACGGGGACAGGACAGCCTCTGAGCGAAGCAGTCGGCAAGGGACTCTGGCAGGGGGTTTGCGAGCCATGAAGATGTTAGGGGAAAACAAAGGATGATTTGTAATTCAGAACAATGTCCCAGCCTGGAATTTGGTGAGGTTTGGCTGTGAGGCCATGTGGGGATTCTCCAAGTTTGCTGCATGTGAAATGAAGCCTCTTGCACCGCCGTGGAAGTCCTCACGCGCGTGCAAGGGGTCTGGGCAGACCTTGCCACGGAGGGCGAGGACGTGGCTCCGGGAGATGGGAGGAGTGGCAGCAGGCATTGTGACGGACACTGCCACTGCAGACAGTCTCTCCTGGGGGAGAAACTCTTGATTTGATGCTTAAACTGAAGAATAAAATCCATGATGGGCCTTTGCTGTTTGAGCACTAGGTTGGGGTGTGTTTCTGCAGTCCTCCGCAGCAGCATAACCACCCTTTCCTGCATGCGATGGAAACAGCTTTTTGGTCAATAGCGTGTGTTTCTGGGCTACATCAACCTACAGTCTGTCCCAGAGCCACGTTCATTATCATTTCTCATGCAGAAAATTGGGTTGTTTGATCGTTGCGTGATTCTGTAGCTTGCCCTCCGTGAAAACGTCAGCGTACAGAAACCTGGAGCGTGGGCTGGGTATAGGGAACAACCATCTGCCGTGTGTGGGCGTCTCGCTTACCTGTGGAGGCCTTTTATTTGGAATAAATGAAACTTTTGGGGGTTTGCTTTTGGCTTAGGGGGTTTTATTCTGCTTTCTCTTTTTCTGGGAGGGACAGGCTTTTCCGCTTGGGCCTTACTGCAGCCCTGGAGATTCCCGACACCGGCTGGCTGGGGGAATTGCGTGGCAGGTTTGCAAAACCATCACGTTGCAGTTTCGTGTCCCAGTTCACCCCTGGGGGTGTTTAGCACAGTCGGTCATTCCAGGCACGCTGGGGCGAGAGCGGCCCTTCACCCGGGGTTATGCCGAACGGGTAACGCGGGCACGTCTCACCCGCAAGGTCTGGACAGGGGGAAGGGACGGTTTGCATGTACACTTTTTGCCTGCCGGAGGACGATGCGCCGACGCTTTACTGGTACCCAAAAGGCTGTTTGTTGCAAGAAGCCGTGCCAATTCCCAGCACGGAAATCCACCCTTCTGGGTTTCAGTGGTAATAACCCAGACATTTAACAAAAAATGCATCAAGCGTCTATAAACCCCAAACTTTAGGACGGGCTCCACCCTGGGACCGAAAGGAGGAAAATCCCTGTGTTTTCCTAACTGTGTCTATCATCAAAAAAATAACAATTACAGAGTAACTCTTTCCTAATTCAGTGTTTCACTCCTCAAGACCCACCACCCCTCGCAGTCTGTGCGAGATACTTGCATGAGAACATCATTACTTCTGCGACCACGAGCCCCTGTCACCCCTGTCTGACTCAGAAAAGGCTGCAAGTAACTTCCCTCTGCAATTGCGTTTCTAGCTGCTGTGGCTAAAAATGTGATTTATCAGGCCCTTCTCTTGGAGAACACGAGGCAAACTCATCTCCGGAGACAGGCGATGTTGGGTAGAACCGGTGTCAGCTGCGTTGGGGCACGATGGCTGGGTGCAACCGTGGTCGTGCTCTGCGGGGGTTTAGCGCTGGGCGATCCTGCGGGGTGAAGAGGTTAAGGGAGGGGAAGGCAGATCATCTCGCTGTCGGTCGTGGAGGTTTGGTTATTCCCTCAGCACTGAACTCAGAGTCTCTGGCAGTTTCGAGGGACCGTTTCAGGGGTGCAAATCCAGGCTTGTGGCACCTTGGGAGCAGAGGTCAAACCGCACACCAGAGCTGGATTTGCCAGCTGCCAGGACAGGAGGAAACGAAAACCCAGTGTTGCTCAGGCACAGCTTGGCCTGGGGAGATGGGCCTAAAGCAGATCTGCCCTCTTAGTGCGAACGCCGAGCTGAAAATCCCTTCCCTGGGGCTGTGCGGGGGCGAGGCATCGAGCAGGCTGCTCATGGCTGTGTCACCTGCGGATGCGCCTGTGCTGCCCTGTCCCTCTCCCAGACACCCTTCGGCCTCCTTTTCCCAGGAGCTGCTCTGATCACCACCCAGGTGGGGGTTTTTGCACCGACTTGACTTGGGGAATTAGATCGAGTCTTGAGAATAAAATTGGATACCCCCCCTCCCCGACTACCCCATCTTTCTGCTTTGAAATGAACCTCCCCACTGCAGAGGGGACGGACTCTCGACAAGCTGCTGGGTAAACACAGGCTCAGTCCCCAGCTGAGAACAGCACTTGGCTTCCTAAAAGCTCTGAGGTCAAGTGACTGCGTGCCCTTAGCAGCCCGTGGAACAGAGCCCCTCAGGGCCCCCTTTGTGCCGCCTGTCTCCCAGCTTTCAGGGGAACTGGGACACCAACCTGTTTGGTTAGAGCCGAACTGCAGTGACTTCATCCCCAGTGTCCTGGGTTTGGGGTGACAGAGTCTGGGGCTGGTCACTTCGGTCCAGGAGGAGATAATGGATGGCCCGTGCAACAAGCTGCGGTTCCCAAGCCGAGAGCGGGCCGCGTTCCTCGGGGAGCGGCAGTGCCAGCGCTTGCGTAAGCACGGCATTTTCCCTCCCAACGCTTCAGCAATCAAACGGATTCTCGCAGACACCAAAGGCCTCGTTTTCCTGCAGCCGGACACCTGAACGCCCGCAGCATACAGAATGCTGAATTGCTAAAACGTGCCAGCGCTTTATTTCGAGGCTCCTGCGGGCGCCGAGCCTGAGGGAAGGCTGGCGCGTGACGTGCAGCGTGGTTGAGAGAGCGGCCTGTGCGGACAGGCTGCTCCCCACGCTGTCGGATTCGGGGCTCCGCGGGGCTCCTCTGCTCTTGAGGTGTCTGCGCTGGCCGCTCAGAGCCTCAGGAGAAGCGGAGTTTCTCTGGGAAGCGCCGGGCGGTTGGGACAGCAGGGCAGAACACGAGCTGCTGCCGTACAATGTGTGGGGTGGGTAGGGCTGGCGAGGAAATATAAATAGCTCAGCTTGGCTTTTGTGCTGTGAGTGGGCCATATACGGACGAGAGCAACAAGATTGTCCATCGTGGGGAGGAGGGAGGAATTCCAAACCCACACGTTCGCGCAGCAGATTCTGAGGCCAGACCTGAACTGCCTTGTGTTCAGGTCTGCGCTCCTCCGAGGAGAATGTGGAAACGAGCACGAGCACAAGCTCTGACGAGACGCATGGGACAGGGAGCCGGGCACGTATGAACCCCAGGATTGCAGCCGCTGCACCCCCCTGCCCCTGGGCTGCAGGGCCATAGGCCACCCGACCTCTTTTGGTCACAGGAATAGCCAAATTAGAAGGGGAAAAATGCAATCCCAGGGGAAAGAGAGAAATCTCATTCTACTCAATTCCTTCAGGCTGCAGCGCTGGATTCTCTGTGCATTGCAAGGGGCACCGTGTTAACATCCAGGTGTGCAAAGACTCCGTCTTCTCCGCACGGTACGGAATTACAAGAGTCTCAATATAATGATTCACGGGAAGCTGAGCCGTTAAAAAATTCCAGGATGTTAAAAGCTCTCACTTCCAGGGTTTCTCTTAGTGCAGATTATCAGTCTTTCCACCAAAAGATGGCCCTGGGGCGTGGGTTCGGACTGGAATTGGCTGCATTAATGGCGCAGGTATTATTTGTAAGCAGTTAGAGCCAGGGCTGGGTGTGTTGCTGAAATCCTCTCGGCATTACAGTTACAGAGGAGCTCTGCGGCAGTAAATTGTCGGGGAGCAAAGGGCCCGAGGCTGCTCGGCCAGCCGGGGCAGGGTTAGGCCGCATGAGTAATGGCCCATGGAGATAAAACCAAAGGCCGTATTCCTTCCGATCACATATTCCTCCTGCAGGAGGCTGCCAGCAGTGGATCTGAGCATCCCCCGTGATGTCTGTGGTGCCAGGAGCCGCTGCACGCAGGAGTATAATGAGGTGCAGAATTTCCCTGCCGTGCTCGCTGGGCTGGGGTGCTCCTCTTTCCAGTCAGATTCTGGCTTGTTTTCCCATTCTGAAGCTAAATACGAGCCCTCAGCAAAAATAGATGAACCCCTCGTGGGCACGCAGCTGGAGAAGGGCCTCAGGTAAGCCAGTCTGCAGGTTGGGGATTGGAAGGCAAAGAATTCAGGAGGGCAGCCAGTGCTCAGCCCGTGCCTGTCTCTGGAATGACCCATTGCTCTCCGGCGTTCCGTGGCTGGGAATTTGACCAGTAGATGGTCGAAGCTGCTCAGTGTCCCGGCCCTGCAGAGCACGGGGAGAGGGTGAGCCCCGTGGGAGAAGCAGCACTCCTGCGGCTTATCTCCTTGTCACCCGTTCTGTTTGCTCGTACGCTTCATGCGAGCACGCACGCTCCCTCTGCACCCTCCGTGCTCGCGAGGCAGGCACGGAGCCGGGGGTGACTCCCCCCGCTGTCGCCCCGTCCCAGCTCCGCACACGGCACGGCAGACGGCGGGACGAGCGAGCAGCCACGCACATCCAATGCAGCCGTGTTCCCAGAGATCCATTGCTTGTTCCCGGCACAGATAGCAAAACTGAGGGCTGCCTGCACCTTCGGTGAGGCTACTTCCCACTGCGCTGCCCAGAAGCAGGATGTGCATCCCGGTTTACGGAGTGAGTAGGGAACCACGCAGTCTCTGCTCTCTGACGTGCTGTCAGGTGTCTGTGACCCACGGAAAGCACGGCGAGGACTCGTGAGCTCTTCAGAAACACGCTCAGCCCTCTTCTACCCTGTGTGGGATAGCATCCTCTCGGTTCTGCGAGACCCTCTACAGCTTGTAAAGAACCTGAATTGCGGGCCCACCTTAAGACAAAGTCCAGAAACAAAGATGCTGTCGGTGAGGGGAAATAAAACATTTAGAATAGAAAGTCTCAGGATGTTTAGTCTGTAGCTTTACGTGAGGGTGCAAATGTCAGTGTCTGCAGGGGTCTGTCAGCGAATCGCCCATCAGGCAAGCTCCAGCGTTGCCGGTTTGCTGTTCAGAAATAGCTCCGGGGTTGTTAATCAGCTGCGACAGGTTTATCCGGGAGGAGCAGTTCTGGGGGTAAAGCCGGTTGTACACACGGGCTGGGAATGGGATCCAGGCCCTTTTCTGCGTCAGAGGGGGAAAGGCCTTTCCACTCAGCAATCTATTTACTTCTGCGTTTCCTCCCGCCTGCCTTTCTCCTGACTCCCTGCTAGGCAAAAGCACTTTCCCAAACCAAGCCTCCCGCTCTCCCTGCGCCGTTCCCTTGCCTGTCACCGTCAGGTTGGACCCAGCTCCAGCGCCGGCCCTGTGTGGCTCCTCCCCAGCTAGCCAAGGAGATGCCGCCTTTTCGGCCACGGCTTCCAGGACCTGGAGTAACTAGTTGTGCCTCGTACAGAGAAAGTGCCACGGAGATCACACGGTACACAAGATCACGGAGGGCAGAGGGACTCCTGCCAGTCATGGAGATTCCCCTGGAGAAGGAGCCAGCTTATCCCTTTAACATGTACCTAATCCCAACCTATTTGGCTTTTCCCCCCATATTTTAGATCTCTTCCTTTGTCTCAGCAGTACCCTTCGGTGAGCTCTTACTGCAGGATTCTGTAGTCTTCTCTCCAAGGACTCGAGACTTCTCTTGGTGGGCACTATAGGAGGTAAAACCTGTCCCTCCTTTGGAATGTGAGTTGGGGCCCTGACGATGGTGTACGCAGGGGTTAACTGCACGTGCCAGCTGCTGCTGGGGGCGCTGGGCCGCCTCGGGGTGCAACAGCAGAGCAGGGAGGTTGTGACTTTGCGGGGGGCATGTTTGCTGCCTCGCTGGGGCCGGACGTCTGCCCGCTGCGGTTATGGCCTGCGTGGCTTTAGGGGTGGCCAGTCCACAGTGTCTCCAGGACATCAAATCCCTCCGTGAGCAGCGCTGTGAAAAGAGCAGAACCTGGCCAGCATTGAGCATAAACGGGGCTGAAATCACCGAAGGGATTCTGCTTTTCCTGTGACCTGCCGCGAATTAGAGAGGACACGCTTCCTTCTAATAAATCTTTGCTGTCTTTTCTGTCACATCTTGCTGCCTGGCTTCTCCCTGTACTGGAACATACCCCATACCTCTTCTCTCTGCTCTTCTGCTAATCTGCATTCCCTCATTGGCAACGTTCCCGACCAGATTCCCAGCGGGGACAGGTAAGTTTTTCCATTCTCCTTCCTTTCCGCTGGCCATTGAAACGCAGTTTTCCTCGTCTTAGCCCAAGAAGATCCAGAGTGTGTACGTTGAGTCTTCGCCAGGGACTGCCCTCTGAGCCGCCTGCAGGAGCGGTTCCCTCCGCCCGCGCTGCGGAACGTGCCACGGCCTGGACCGGCAGAAGAACGTGCGAGGGGGCAGCAGCGCAGGGCCGCAGCGGGAGAACCCCCCTGAAGATTGCTTTGAGCCTCTCCTCGAGCTCTGGCAGTGCTGACGCCAGGGCCTTTGCCCCTCTGCCTGCCTGTGGCTGCTGCCAGGCCCATCTTCCAGCTGGCAGCAAAGCCTCTGCTCGGTGCCTGCTGCTCGCTGCTTGCTGCATGCTCTGCCCTAGTTAGACAGGATGGCGGGGGGCTGCGATTTCCTCTCTGGCGTTGCGGGACGTGTGCTGCAGGAGGATTTGCTGTGTGGCTTGCACGAAGGGCTAGTAGCCAGGAGCAGCTGGCTCTGCAAATGTTGCCTGTCTTCTGAGCCTCAGTTTCTCTCCCTGAGTTACAGCCCTCCTCAAGCTTGTGTAGGTGTGGATTGTGTTTGTGAAATGGCTTGAAGTTGCTGTTTAAATAGGTAAAAGACAGGCCAGGAGCACAGACCGTGACCTAAAACTGCGGTTGTCTCATGTAGGCACTGCCCCATCATTGCTGCTCCATGGCAGCACCCCGTGCTGTTCCCTGGGCGCTGGGCTCCTGCACACGGACTGGTGCCAGCCGTGCCCCGTTAGCCTTCCTCTGGTGTGGCTACTGAGAAAGCGCCCTGGGCTCCCGTGGGCTTTGGGTGAGCACCCGGTGCCACGCTGGCCAGTGGGTTCACCGGGAGCGGGGACCTGGGCCTGGGAATCAGGGTCTCTGGGGAAGCTGCCAGGGAAAAGTTCTCTTTTTCAAGGAGAGTGACAGGATTTAAAAAGGCTTTTTTTGTGATGCAGTGAGAGTGATGGCAATTACAGTCACGGGAACGGTCTGTCCCAAGAAGGCGCTGAAGGAGACGGCGCAGCCCTCCTCTCCTGCGCAGGGCACCGTTTCAGCCCTGAGCTCTGCGAGGTTGCGGGTGCTTGCCGGCTGTGTTGCTGTTCTCGGGAATAACCGAATCCTCCTTCCCATGATGCTGATGGAAGCTCAGCACAGAAAAACATCCCCTAAGGACCGGCAGAGCAAAACAGTTCTCATGGCAACGGGAGGGCAGAACTTGTTCTCTGCCAGGGCTCAATGTGACCTGGAGGGCTCTTCTGCCCGGTGCTTTCAGCCCTCCCTCAGCCTCCCCTGGGTCAGAGCGGGTCTGCCCTGCCCCGGGGGGGCAGGGAAGGGCTGCCATGGGGCGAGGGGGCTCCAGCTCCCCCGGCAGCAGCCGGCAGCAGCCCTTTTTGGTCATAGCGGAGCCTGGGGATGTTCTGCATGCTATGGCTGCATGTTGACTACGCTCAGGGGTTTGTGCCATTGCAGTTGTGTAAAGATAACGGGATGAATTGCAGATGTGATCAGCATGTGTGTGTGAAAACTCCTCCATTAAACCTTCCAACTGGAGAGCGGCATGGCTGGGAATTTTGGGACTCTGTTTTTTACACGCTGACCCAAAGAGCCTCCTCAAGAGCAATCCAGGAGCCCTTCCTGCATTCTGGGAGTGTTCCCCAGATCTGCCGGCGATGCCGCAGTGCTGGAGGAGCTCTGCTCGGCTGGGAAGGCAGCTCAGCGTTGTGTCTCGTTGGCCTTTTATACGCCAGGGGAAGTGTTTACGTGTGTTGTAGCAACGGGGCGGTGTGTACATGACCGACCGGCTTGGGTGACTCACTGCGGGGGAACTCGGGCCTGAAAACAGCGTCCGATAACAAGCCCACTGTTGGAAGCAGGAGGAATGCAGTGCAGCCCGCACCCCGAGCTGGCAGC